TTTTCTAACAATCACACCGGTAGTAACAATAATATAGGTCTTCGCCTGACCATCGTATTTTTGCTGATGTGCGAACAATTAATGCTCGTATATGACAATAAATGCCATCTTGAATCTTGGGGTGTAAAATGCAAGTGTGATACATTTTTACGTTAAAATACTCTTCATGCATGGTGGTATAGTATCTAATTCATCGACGAATCAAATAAGCGTTTGGGTGGTATATTAAACTTTCTGCAGCAAGATTCTTGGCAACAAATTCCAACCAATCACAGAGCAGAAAAAAATTCACTGCAGCGAGTTTAAGTTGCCGCTGCGAGTTTAGCGCCCTCCATGCATATTTTGACCAATCAGAGGCCAGAGAACTCACTGCAGTAAATTTCTCTTTATTAAATGTGAATCTGAAGACCTTCTAGTACAATTATCTAATAATCAGGGCAACTACAATTACTGGGTTAATCCATTATTTAAAAAAAAGTAAATGAAATAAACAATGAAAACTGGAGAGTGGATATTGAAAGTAAGGCCTCCCTCACAGACTATTCATTACTTAAAGATACAATTAAATTAGAAAATTATCTATTAGATAAATTGGATTTCGAAGGTGTATCATTGAAATTTAAACTTCGCTCCATTACATTGCCCCTTGATAGTACAGTTTCTAGATGGTCTGAAGACAAGAATGGCTTATGTACTCTTTACAATACAAATAATGAAGAAGACATAAGACACTTCTTATTCTCTTGTCCCACTCTCCTAAACATACGTTTAGAGGAGTTAAATAAACTTGAATATAAATTAAGTAGTCATAACATCGATGTTTGGGATCAATTTTTAAGTGCTAATATTGATATTAAATTAAGCTACGTCCTATGCTCCACTACTCTTTCCATGACAAATGAAGTAGAGAAATATGAATTTTGTAAAAGTTATGGAAAAGAGCGTGGAGAAAAAGATCTGAATTGAAGCACTTGCAAACCCTATCGTAGATTAAGTATCTGTATTACTGTCTTTTACTTTTTTTTTTTTGTAACTAATTGATTTTGTTTGCCTTAACATTATTGTTGAGTTTGTTGATGGTACAGGTGGCCCTTCGAAATTTGTGACAGGCAAGGCAGGTTGTATTTCCTTGTCATGTTTTTCGGGGAGCTACTTGCCTCATTAGCAGCACTACTCACTTGTGTTTATTTCATTTTTACTTAAGATTCCCTTGTTTTGTTTCGTAATTTTTTTTTTTTTTTTTTTTTTTTTTTTTTTTTTTTGTACTTTTAGCTAAGAATTTTAATTCACTTTGAACGCACCAAATGATTTTGAGTGCCACCGATCTAAGGGTGTATGTTCCAATAAATGATTGATTGATAATTGAACTGCAGTTCAGGAACCGAATACTGAGCGATATCGCACTCGACGTCGGTAGAAAAGTCCACCACAAAAGTAAAAAAATACCCACCAATAAACCACAAATGTCATAACATCTGAACCACCAAATGTAAAAATAACCACAAATATTAAAATAACCCTAAATGTACCAATTTCGCCAACAAGTGTAAAGAATTTTTTTAACCACAGATGTAAAAACATTTCGCCAAGTGTAAAAACTTCCATTTTAGCCTACCTCAAATGTCGTAACATATCAACCGTAGTAGGCCTAAAAACTCAATGTAAGGATCAGATGTATGGATGTGTCTGTGTGCGAGATTCGAAACATTAAAATCCTTAAAATATTGAAAGACCCTGGTTATCTGCATCAAAATTTGAATGGTGTCCACGTATTTTACCTGCACCCAACTAACATTGTGTCATCGTTTTTACGCTACCATTATTTTAACAAAACGAAAACAAAAGCTATAAATTATAGAAAAAACTGATGTGCTTTGTCATGAACTAACAAAATACAAAATCCAAATAATGAGAGATTTATGGGTTTGCGTAACACATTGTTTAAATTGGTAAGTTTGGCGTCTCAGCTGAGATTGACTCTGCTTATTATACTCCTCTGTTGATTGCTGTTAATGGCCTCAACAGGGGTGTAAACTTACGTCCGCTGTTATTAAAATAAGCTTAGTTAAGCTTCATCTAATGTGAGGAATGGAAACTAAGAATCTCACTAACATTCTCATCTAACAAAAACAAACATTGCAAAAAATGACATAAGGTAAACGAAGTAAAAAAATGAATTTGTGTCATGAGTGATATTATATTTGTGTTCAGAACTTTTGTCTTCGTGACCAAGTTGCACAATTTTGGTAACCATAGACATAGGATATTAGTTGCTTAATCGAATATTTAAAATTCCACAATAATTGACGTCACTACAGATCAAAACTCTTT